AAGGGAAGGGGGAAGTGATTTCCAGGCTCACTGACTCCTCCCCAAGGATTTCCAGCCCAAAGGAGCTGAGCAAGGCTCTAACACCTCCTGGTCTGTGTAGACATGATATTTTCTGAAAAATCCCTTTGCCAGGATTTTTCTCCTGAGAAGCTGAGAAGCCTCAGAGGATAAGAAAAACAATAATTATCTGCTGCTGTGGAATGCAACAGGTGCATCTTTGACTGGTCCATGTTGGTTGTTTTTAATTAATGGCCAATCACAGTGAGCTGGCTTGGACTCTCTGAGAGTCATCAGCTTTTATCATCATTGATTTCTATTCCTTTCAAGCCTTCTGATGAAATCCTTTCTTCTGTTCTTTTAGTATAGTTTTAATATATAATTTTCTTTTAATGCAAATAATACAATAATAAATCAGCCTTCTGAAACATGGAGTCAAGATTCTCATCCTGTGAACACCACCACAGGACTGCATTTATTCTCCAGGGAATCCATCCCATCCCATCCCATCCCATCCCATCCCATCCCATCCCATCCCATCCCATCCCAGTTTTGTCCCCTCTCAGTTAAATGTCTCTATTTTGATATTCATTAGCTCAGCACTCATCTCGAGGAAAATGTTTCATCTTTCATGGAGAAATAATGTGTCATTCCATCAGAAATTACAATAAATTAACATCCATTTGCTGCAGGAAGATGTTCCTGGTGTTTTCCATGAGCTTTGATAGGAATCTAGACCAGGCTAAAAAGCAATTAGCAAATGTAATATAAGAGAATTTTGCATTTTGCCCTATAGAAAAGCTGAACTGCCTGTAAAAATGTGCTGGGAGGACTTACCACATTCCCTTTGGGACCTGTTGGTCCATCCATGCCAGCCACACCCTTTGAAAGGATTTAAAAAACACAGCAGTAAGAAAATATCACATTAGTAAGAAAATATCACATTATTTCACACCACAAATGCAGGGAAATTGCCATAAAAAATAATAAAAATAAATCAAGAATTCCTTTGGACCAGGTGGAAAGGGAATAATTTCGTAAAGGTGTTTGGTAAAGCAGCAAATTCCATGAATCCAGGTGAATTTCTAAAGTAATTTTGGTGCTTTTCTCTTTGGTTTAACTAGTCTGGGAGGCACAGGCAGCATCAGGCTGAGGCAATCCTGGCTGGATTGCATCCCACAGGTGTGGAATGGCAGAGGAAAAAGGGGAAAAATCCCTGACAGAGCTGTGCCAAAACAGAATTCACCTGGGACTGACACTCCCTGAGCACCTTCACTGAGGGAGGAACATGGAGATGTCCCCCTGCCACCAGTTCAGAATCATGGGATTGTTCAGGTTGGAAAACACCTCTAAAATCATCAAAAATCATCAAACCCAGCATGAAGCCAGCCACATCCCCAGGTGCCACATCCACGTGGGCTTTGAGCCCTCCCAGGGATGTGGACTCCACATTCCCTGGGCACTGCTTGACAGCTCCTTCCAGGAAGAAATTTTCTCCCCTGGCACAATTTTCCTCTCATCCTGTTGCTTGTTGGGAAAAGGGCCTGATCCCCCTCCCCACAACCTCCTGCTTGTTATAGAGAATGAGATTTCCCTGAGCCTCCTTTTCTCCAGGATAATCTTTTATCCTGTGGGGTAACATCCCGTCCGCAGGAGATGAGGCAGTTTGGGAGCAAACCCTGAATCCCCATTAAACCCCAGGAGCTCACAGCAAAGTTCTTCACATCCCAGGAGGGCTGAAAGGCCACAAAATGTTCCCCATTAAGCACTGACCCCTTGAGCTTTGGGGTTTTAAACTCTGGGATTCCAGAGGAGAAATGATTTATGGACAACCTCTGCATCAGCACTTCCAGGGATGAGATTTGCTAAATAAAATCCTATATGTTTTGGCCTGGAAGATGAAGGAACTGCTTCAGATGAAGCACTGACCCCTTGAGCTTTGGGGTTGGGGTTTTAAGCTCTGGGATCCCGAAGCAGAAATGATTTAGGGACAGCCCCTGCATCAGCACTTCCAGGGATGAGATCTGCTAAATAAAATCCTACATGCTCTGGCCTGGAATATGAAGGAACTGCTTCAGATTAAGCAGTGACCCTTTGAGCTTTAAGGTTTGGGATCCCAGAGCAGCAGAGATTCAGGGACAGCCCCTGCATCAGCAGTTCCAGGGATGAGATCTGCTGGATAAAATCCCAAATGCTCTGGCCTGGAATATGAAGGAGCTGCTGCAGAGCCCTGAGGCAGCAGTTAATGGCAAAGGCTCTGTGTTAATCACTCCCATCCCTCCCCTCCAGCCTGAGCAAGGAGTTCATATTTACTCAGGTGGGGCAAATCTGCCCTGCACGGACGTGACACCACTGAGGATGGGGGAAAGCAGAGCCAGGAGCTCCTTTTGGGGCTCCACTGCTTCTCTCTGCCCAGATGTGGCCAATTCTGCAGCTGGAGGCCGTGCTGGGATGGCTGAGGTTGGGATTTTGTCTGGAAGGTTCTGGAGCAGGGAACTCACCTGGGGCCCTGGGGGTCCTGGGGGTCCCTTGGGGCCCAAAAGTCCTCGGGGTCCCTGTGGGGGGAAAAACAGGGTGAGAATTCCCATCTGAGGATGAGCATCATGCTGGACACGGACACAGCAGGGTTGGGAAGGACCTTGCAGGGATTGCAGCAGCTTCCCTGAGCTACAAACTGGGAGAGAAATCCTGTGGGCAGAGAGCCTTCAGTAAATAAATAGAATATAATGGAATATAATGGAATAGAATGGAATAGAATGGAATAGAATAGAATAGAATGGAATAGAATAGAATAGAATAGAATGGAATAGGATAGAATAGAATAGAATAGATTGGAATAGAATAGAATAGAATAGAATGGGATAGAATAGAATAGAATAGAATAGGATAGAATAGGATAGGATAGAATAGAATAGGATAGAATAGGATAGAATAATATAACATAGCATAATATAACATAATATAATCTATATAACATTATTATATTATATTTATTATATTATGATATATATTATATATTATAGGAATAATATTATTATAGTATCATAATATAATAAAATATGATATTATTATTATTATTATTATTATTATTATTATTATTATTATTAATAATAATAATAATAGTAGTAGTAGTAGTAGTAGTAGTAGTAGTAGTAGTAGTAGTAGTAGTAGAGGCATTTATTCCTTGGGTTGGAACAAATCCCCTTTGAAGCAATTAAAAAAAAATAATTTAATCCTACTCCTGGATTACCCTGTAACGCACACTCTTTGCAGCCAAGTCATTCCATTCCTCATTTAAGCTCCTCTGTTGTTGCTGTGTTACCTGAGCACATAAATGCTTTTAAGAAGTTAATAAGCCATAAGTTATTGCTTGGACATGTGCTAAGGAGATAGCTGAGTTGATTAATCTTTCCCAGAAGTTAATCAGACATCTTGTCTATAATTTAGTTCCGGCGAGTCTGTAAATGCCAGCCCTTCCCTCTCTGCCATGAACTGCGCCCAGCAATTGCCATCAATTAATCTCAGGCCACCACGCACAACCAAATCAGGGGTTTGGGAAGAAATGATGGAGAATGTTCTATTCACAACAGAGGAAATGCATTCAGGGTGAAATCAGCAGCCACACAGAAATCTGCAGGCAGCAGGAGCCGTCTGCATTGCCAATAAAGTGAGAAAAACTCAGTGTTAGGGGCAAAATGCCTTTTCAGAGCATTTCATTGACAGCCTGTCTGTTTGTTTTGTTCGTGGGATTCTCCTTGAAAGCATTTCTGTGGCTTGGTCCAAAGGATTTGTCCAAGCCCAGTGAGATCTCCTTTATCCTTCCTGACATCAGGAATTCCCAGCTCCTCCTCCAGCTGCTCTGCAGCGCGTGGGCTCCAAACACCGACAGAGAGCAGATTTAGGAACTCCTGGGCACTGGGAACAGGATATTGACCCCACTGAAGTCAGATAGAAAAATGTCCCTGAGCTCAATCCTGCCAGGATTTCACCCTGAGGTTTATCAGGAGTCACTGACACTGGGGACAGCGGTGGAGATGCCACTGCCCTGAGATAAAACCCTGTTCTCACTGGGATTTCCTATGAACACTCACAAATCATGTATTTTATATTTATTTTCCACACCTAATTTCTACCCCAGCCTGATTACCTCAATTCCAAAGCAGAGAGAAGGATACAGGCAGGAAAAATATTACATTAATCTAAGTTTTATATTTACAGTTATGATTTTTTTCTGAGCAATCAATAAGACTTTTTCTTCATTAAAAAAACCAAACCAAATCAAACAAACACCTTTGTGGGAGTGAAAACAAGGGGAAAACTATGAATGAAAATAAGCAAAGCAAAGTTGTTCCAGCACAGCCACTCTCATGTTGTCCCTGTGGAGCTTCAAGCTGAGCTCAACCCCTGCAGGATCTCAGGGCAAAGCTGCCCCATGAGAGCCCCAAAAATTCCTTTTTCCACCCCAAATCCACAGAAAGGGGAGGGGGATACTCACAGGTTCTCCAGGGAGACCCCGGGGTCCAACTTCTCCATCATCTCCCTGGGCAGCAGCAGAGGCACGGAGAGAAGCAGCAAGAGACAGAAAAAATCCACATTTAATTCAGTTTTGTCCTTTTTAAATAATATTCCCATAGAAAAGCAGTTTGCAGGACTGGCAGGGTTTCCATGCCTTGGAAGCCTGAGGACTAAAATTGAGTTTACCAGGAACTAGAAAGGCCTGAAGATCCTTCAGAATCCTGGCTGATGTTTAGAAAAGTGGATTTTGCCACCAGACAAGGGGCTGCAGACACAGCTCAGGGCAGGGGAGCCAACAACCACAAGATTTGAGACCAAACTGAGTAACAAGGCAGGGTTATAAACTGAAGAACAAGGGGATGGGGTTTAGGCAAATCAGAGCTCCTCAGATAAACCAGAAGCAGCAGAAGGGTCACCCTGTAACCACACTCTGCAGCCGAGTCATTCCAGCTGGGAGTTCATGAAGGATCACCTGGTAACACCAATGGATCATCCCAAAAATCCCTCCAGATTGAGATTTTACCATGGACAACCCACACAGCTCAGCAAGGCTGGGAAGGTTTCCATAAATGTACATTTCGAAGGCTTTGGGTCCTCCAGCGTGAGGATTTCTGCTCTCCTGGTGTTTTCCTTCCATTCCTGCCCCTCTCTACTAGAACTTGGCACTGCTGAAATTGGTGGGATGGGAGCATCACATAGAATAAGAAAAACACAGCGGGAGAATTGGAATTCCTGCAAATTGTTGGAAATCCCAGCCCAGCCCCTCCTGGAGCCTTTGGAGTGGAAGGAAAGGGATGGGAGCGCTCACTGAGAGCTCGCTTTAATCACAGCCCCTTTCTGAAGTAAGGGAAACTCTGGGATTTGTATGGATGGGGCTCCTTCCCTGCCATGGAGGGAGAAGAATTGTTCCTGATGGATGGGCAGCTTTAACTGCCTGCCCAAATATTCCACAGCCTCCTTTGTGTGATGCAGAGAGGGCTGAGGAATTCAAATGAAATGTTACAGGGTTACAGGAATAGGAGCATCACACGGAATAAGGAAAACATGGCAGGGGAATTTCCTCCCTCCTCTCCCATGTCTGCTGGGATAAAACCCCAAAATGATCAAATGGTGCTTCCCTGAGTTATTTTTCACCCCAAACCTGAGGAAACCAAGCCCTTGGAAACCTTCCTCCAGTGCTCATCACTCCCTGCTCTGCTCCCAGTCCTGCCCTCCTGGAATTTTCTTTTTCCCTTTGGGATTCTGACTCTCCTCCTTCCCCCTCCAGCTCTGCTCTGCTCAACCTCAGAGCATTTTACAGCCACAATTAATTAACCAACCCTCCCCAGGTTGTGGAGAGTGATTATCTGAGCCTTGCAGGGACACAAAGTGGGAAGAAAACACCATGGAAGGGGATGAGAGCTGGGAAATCCACCGTGCTCCTCAGGTTAGAACCACACACCAGCAATTTTAAGCTCTCTCCTTAAATCAGAGCTGGGATCACTTAATCTGGGCTTTGCTAAACATCTTCTGGCTGAAGGAGAAGT